GGGGCCGGGGGGGGGGGGGAGACGGGCGGGCGCTGGGGGGTGGGCAGGGTGCGTGGGCCCCCACCGGAGGTGGGGGTCCGGTCGCGGTGCGTGGGCCCCTGCCGGAGGCGGGGGTCCGGTCGCGGTGGTCCCCGAAGCGCGGGAGGCTGGCATGCACCAGGCCGAATTAAACGTCTGAGATAGTCTCTGGGGCGAAAAGCGCTTTTCACACCCCCTCTGCCCACGTCCAGCCTTTATTCGAGGCGTGTACCACCCCCGGCGCGGGGACTGACCAACAACCAGACACTGGGCGTACAGTTATGACATTTATTATTCATATGCAAGTGCTGACAGTGATTGATTTACGACCTGGTCCAAAGCCAAGATCGCATTAACAAGCACAAGCCCCAATGGGCTGGAGAGGAGCTGGTGCTGGAACCAACTGGAACTGGAGCCCAAGACCGACTGGACTGGGACAGGAGCCGCAAATAAGCCAGAGGAGATGAAACCCAACTGGAGTCTGGAACGAGCTGGAGCCGTCCATGAGCCGGAACCACAGCTGAACTGGAGCTGAAACTTCCCAGAGCCATCCATGAACTGGGTCCACAAATAAGCTGGAGCCGTCCACAAGCTGGACCTGGAACCAGAGCAGAAACAAACTGGTACAGAAACAAACAGGAACCACAAATGAACTGGAGCCGTCCGTGAGCTGGACCTGAAGGCGCAGATGAACTGGGGCAGAAACGAGGAACCTGAAGCTGCAAACAGGTCCAGCTCACGGACAGCTCCAGCCTGAAACGAACTGGAGCTGAAACTGTCCAGAGCCGTCCGTGCGCTGGAGTCGCAATGAAATGGAGCTGCAAAGGAGCTGGACCTGAAACCAGAGCAGAAACCAACTGGTACAGAAAGGAACGGGAGCCGTGCATGAGCTGGCCCTGAAATGACCAGGGGCAGAAAGAAATGAGCTGAGGTGCAAATGAGCTGGAGCTGAAAACAAACTGGAGCAGAAACGGCCAGCCTGAAGCTGCAGATAGGCTGGGGCCGCACCTGAGACAAAACT